GAAACAAGAACACTTATTCACTGTTGGTGGGAGTGTAAAATTGTACAACCGCTCTGGACGGCAGTATGACACTTTCTCAAAAAGTTGGAAATGGAAATACTATTTGTCCCAGAAATTCCACTAGTAGGAATATACCCTAAAGCGACCAGAGCTGTCAACCAAATAGATACGTGCACATTCATGTTTATTGTTGTGTTATTCACAATAGCATGGAGATGAAAACAACCCAAGTGCAACAAAGGAATGGATAGAAAAACTGTATTACATTCACACAATGGAATACTACTCAGCACCGAAAAACAAGGAACTCATAACATATTATACAATGTGGATGACCCTGGAGGACATTATGCTGAGTGAAATATCTCAGTCACAAATGGACAAATACTGTATAATGCCACTGTTATAAAACAGAACTGATAAGGGGCTTATGGAGAATATAAGAAAAGAGGGGATAAATAAGGGACACTGCATTGGAACAGGTGAAGGAAACAATGGGTTAAAAGGAATATATGATTAGGCATTATTTGTACAACAGTCCAGAATAAGAAACGCATAGCAAAGTGGACTGGGGGAGGAAGTTATGCAACAATGAATATGTTTTTTAAAAAAGTGAACTGGGACCAGATGCTCTGCCGAGGAAGGAGGGACAATCTCCTCCTGTACCAGTCAGATCTGATTTGACGGTACACTCACACAAAAATAATAAAACAAAAATAAAATCTTTTAAAAAGTGAACTGGAAAGGAGCTCTGGTGGCCTAGTGGCAAGAAGCTGTACTGCAACCCAAGAAGTAAGCGGTTCAAATCTACCAGATGCTCTGCTGGAGAAAGAGGGACAATCTTCTCCAGGACTAGTCAGATCTGATTTGAGGGTACCCACACAAAATAATAAAGTAAAAATTTTTTAAAAAGTGAACTGGGGAGGTGGGGAGGTAGGAGAATGTCCAACAATGATTGAATGAAAATCCAACTATTCTGCAAACTTTTGCTAATACTGCAATAAAAATAGTGATTGTAAATTAAAAAAAGAAGATGACCAGGAGCTGATTTTTTGAAAGGGTCAACAAAATAAGCAAACTTAACAAAAGCAAAACAAGAAAAAAGGCACCAATAACTCAAATAAGAAATGAGAGGCAACCTCAAAACAAAGCCAGATGAAATTAAAAACTGTACTAACAGAGTATTATGAAAAGCTAATTCCAACAAATATGAGAGCCCAGAAGAAATAGAAAAATTTCTAGAAACCCAACCTCTACCCAAAGTGGAACACTTGGGCAGATCCATCACAAAGGAAGAAATGTAACAGGTCATAGAAAGACAGCCCCCAAAAAACCCCCAATCAAAATGATTTGTAATTTTGTTTGGAAAGGAAAGAGACTGGGAACAGCAAAGTTCTTCTGAAAAATAAAAAGTAGGAAGTTTAATACTCTCTGATTTTAAAATCACCTACACAACCACAGCAAGCAAGAGAGTATGGTGCAATGACAGACACATAGAACAGGACATAGAATCAAGAATCTGGGAATCAATCCATTTACTTAGAGTCAATTAATTATTTGACCAGGAACAAAATATATTACATGGAAAAATTAACAGCCTCTTTAACAGTTTTGCTGGCAAAACTGGGCATCTATCTGCCAAAAACTAAAACAAGATCCACATTTCTCACCATTTACAAAACTAACTCAAAGTGGATTAGAGGCCTAGGGGTAAAACAAAAAAATCATAGATATCATCAAAGTAAAAACTAAGAACAAATTTAGATGCCCCAATCTATGGTGTAAATAGCCTTGAAAACAGGCACAACCAGTAAAGGATAAAAAAAGGATGAGTGTGAACTTCTAAAAATCAAATGCCTATGTGCATAAAAACCTGTTTTCGTTTTTTTTCACGGTCTAATCCTTTTTCTTTTTTTTAATCCAACAAATATATTATCTTATTTTTATTAAACAAATGCAAAAATATTCAGACATTTTGTTTTTATTTGATACTTGAAAAGTCATCTAAATTTGACATTTGTCTTTTAATTCCTCTAAATATGTATATATGTAATTTTTTTTAAGATACAACAATGTCAATCTGTGCTTATAAAACCTGTTTTCTTAGAGGATGTAAAGAAAGCCCATAGACCGGGAATAAACATTTGGCAATTCAATTTCAGAGAAGGTTCTCATAACATGTTTACAGAATAGTACAAGACCTCCACAAGAAAAAGACTGATAAATCAATTACAAAAAAGGAAAAATACATGAAAAAAACTCTTGGCCAACAAATTGCTGAGGAGATGTTCAGAATCACAGGAAGTTAGAGAGATGCAAATCAAAAAACAAAGAGTTACAATCACAAACCCAGTGGCAAAGTTTACCAGGACAGCATAAATGTTGCAGAGCATGTGGAGAGATTGGAACTCTCATGCACTGCTGGTGGGATTGTAAAATGGCACAAGAACTGTGAAAGGCAGTGTGATGTTTCTTCAAAAAGCTGAGCATAGAAATCCTCTATGATCCAACTATCCCATTGCTGGAAATATACCCTAAGGAAATCAGACCTGAGACACATATGGGGATATTTACACCTATATCCATTGCAGTGTTATTCACAATAACAAGAAAATAGAAACAACATAAATGCTCTGAGCAAACGAATGGACAGAAAAACTGTGCACTAGAGAATAATGAAGTATTTATAAAATATTATAAAATGTAATGTAGTTGTTGTTATGTGCTGTCGAGTCACTTGCAACTCATAGTGACCCTATGTACAAGAACCCTAAACCCTGCTCTATTCTGTGCCAACCTCACTGTCTCTGACACACTCCCACCACCCCAATCACAAAATCGATCCATGTCGTCGAGGGTCTTCCTCTCCTGCACTGTCCCCCAACTCTCCCAAACATGATGTCCCTCTCCAAGGAACGTCCCTCCTTGCAACATACCCGAAGTATGTCAGAATCCTTGACTACAAGGAGCAGCCCAATTTAACCCTCTCCAGGATGAATCTGTATTTTTCTTAGCAGTCCGTGGTACACTCAATACTCTTCTCCAGCACCACAGCTCAAAGGCATCAATTCTCTTTCTATCATCCCTAGTCACTGTCCAAACTCTTCGATGCATAGTACACAATTACGAAGACTATAGCCCAGATCAAGTGCACCTTAGTCTCCAGCCTGATGTTATTGCTCTTCAGTACTCTGGAGAGGTCCCTGACAGCTGACTTTCCCAGTGCAATTTGTCTCTTGATTTCCTGGCTGCTGGTACCAAGAGTGTTGACTATGGATCCATGCAAACTAAAACTGTTAACTATTTCAATCTCTTCACCATCCATACTGATTCTACCAATTGGTCCAGTGGTGAGAATCTTTGTTTTCTTGATGTTGAGCTTCAATCCATATTGAAGGCTGCAGTTCTTGACCCTCTGCAGCAAACACTTTAGGTCCTCCTCAGTTTCAGGAAGCAGGGTTGTGTCATCTGCATAACACAGGTTGTTGATGAGTCTTCTACCAATCCTGATACCACATTCCTCCTCATACACCTCAGTGTCCCAGATGATATGTTCTGCATGCAGCTTGAAAAGGTATGGAGACAGAATACATCCCTGGCAGACCCGCTTCCTGATTTTGAACCACGTGAAAGCAATTTAAAGAAATATGACACAAATAAGAGAATATAGAGAACATTATGTTGAGTGGAATAATTTAGTACTGCATAAGGCCACTATTGTGAAAATAGAATAACTGAGGGGTTGTGAGTTGCGAGAGGGAGAAGATAAAGAACTCAGTCACCAAAGGACAAATACTTCATAAGATCAGTATTTGAAATAGGAGGGTAAGTGAGGGATTGGTGTAAATGAAGTGGAGAATGGAAATAGAATGTGTACACAATGAACATGTCAAGAATCAGGATAAAAGAGGATCAAACCTGGGAAGAATCAAGATAAGTACAATAAGGATATTTCAATTAGCACATTGCAACAAGATACATATAACTTTTTTAAAAGAAAGGATAGAACAGATGCAGAAGTAGCAATAGGAAATTACCAGAACAACAGATACTAGTTAGGCAATGGAGGATGAACAATTAGGTAAGGTGCAAGGGAGACTTGAGGAGAGGAGAAGAAATTCAGATAAATAGTAATTATATAAAAGAATATCTAGAAAGTATTCTATACAACAAAATGTATGTTAAGGAAACTACAAATATTAATTACTGTGCAAAAGTGAATGATTTTGTAAAAGAGTAAAAAATAAATTTTTTTAAAGGACAGGTTGAGAATGGTTCAATTTCTAGTCAGTATGCTTCAAGGAGACTTAAAAATTGTTAAGTAGGATCTAGAAGAAAAACAGTAGCTAACATTCATTAAAGGTCATAATATAGAACAATTTTCCAACACAAGTATATCGAAACAGAATAGACTGACAGCAGTTTATCATAGGAAATGATAAAATATTGTGACATTTGAGACCCATAATCCTGGCAGGTATGCAGAAGTCATACATGATCCAGAATAGATCTAGATAAAAGGAGGTGCTGCTGCATAATATTTGCTCTTGATATTAAAAACTCCTTTCTTATGCTCATATTTAGCCCACCACCTCACACTTAAAATATTATGAAATAAAAAGGGTTGCAATGCATCGTTCTTCTCTCTCCTCTCCCCTCCCCCTCCCCTTTCCCCTCCGTTCTTCCTCTCCTCCTTTACCCTCTCCCTCCCTCCCTCTCTCCTTTTTTCCCTCTTTCCCCCTCCCTCTCTCTCTCTTTGCCCCTCTCCCCTCCCCCCAACCCCAATCAGTGCTGGAAGATGAGCAGATTAGTAACTGTAAAATATTTTCCATTCCTTCAAAAATGTATTAAGACTGAATTTTCAGTCATTTTTCAATCTTCTGAGTTCTTTACACACCATATTTCAATCTGAAAAATCTGGGCAGGAGAATGAGTGTTAAAGTTAACACCAGCCAGTCTTCGGCACACTCTTAATTCACTTTTCACTCGTGTTTTCACAGTGACTACAGGTATGTGGCAGCTGCTCTGGCTGTCATGAGAAATGTGACCCAGCAGATCAACGAGCGCAAGCGACGTTTGGAAAATATTGACAAGATTGCCCAGTGGCAAGCCTCTGTCCTTGACTGGGAGGTAGGACCCTCATCTCTAAGACCAATGGGAAATCTGAGTAGCTAACGAGAACTTTCCCATCTTAACCTAAAGTGGACAAAGATGAATTAGATTTGAAAAGCACAAGGAAAGATTTAGATTAGCGCCCAGGCAAAACAAAAATCTACCTACTAAAAGGTATTGTGTGTTTGAATGACTTTCTTAGAATATTGGACAAATCATTGTGACAGTACCTCACTGTTATTGCTGTGTGTTGTCAAGTCAGAGCTGACTGATAGTTGACCCTCCAATGGTTTTTAGAGGCAACAGGAGCAGATTGCTGGTCGAGTTGAACACCATCCTTTGAGATTGCAGCACAGCTTCTTATCACTGAGCTACCAGAGCTCCCAAATAGATTTTTTTTCTATTTTGATGTTGTTTGCTTCTTGTTATGTGCCATCAATTCTCTTGCAACTCAGTTATGTACAATAGCCGAGAAACCTGCTCTATCCTGTGCCAACATTGTTGTCTCTGACCCACCTACCCTCATTACCCTAGTCACTGAATCAATCCATCTCCCTTGTGCTGTCCCTCCAGCCTTCCAAGCACGCTATCCCTCTCCAAGGACTGGTCTCTTGCAACATGCCCAAAGTATGTCAGATGAAGCTTCAGAATCCAGCCTCCAAGGAGCAGCCTGGTTTCACCCTCTCTAGACTGAACCTATTTGTTCTCCTGGTAGTCCATGGTATATTCAATACTCTTCCAGCACCACAGCTCAAAGGCATCAATTATGTTTCTATCATCCCTAGCCATTGTCCAGCTTTCTGATGCATAGCAAGCAATTGTAAAAACAATGGCCTGGATCAGGAACACTTTAGTCTCCAGACTGACATCATTGTTCTTCAGTCTTCTGAAGAGGTCCCTGACAGCAGACTTTCCTGATGCACTTCATCTTTTGATTTCCTGGCTGCTGGTACCAAAAGCATTGATTGTGGAGTCTAGAAAACAAAAGCTGTTAACAATCTCAATCTCTTCACCATCTATCATAATGCTACCAATGAGCCCATTATTTTAATGTTGGCAGGGCATAATTTATTAAATTAATTATTAATATAATATGTTGTTGTTAAGTGTCGTCGAGTCGCAGACGACCCTATGAAGGCGATTCCTTGACGCTTAGGTGCCTTTCATCCTCTCTCAAAGTTCATAGGGTTTCCGGAGGCAAGCTATTATGGAAGTGGATGCCACTCCTCCTTCCACGCTTGTTTAATTGGGGAGCTCCACCCCACTTTCAGTCCACATTGGGTAGCCAACCATTAACACATTTGACACATTCGTGTCACAGTGTTCAGCCTCACAGCAACCACAAGTGACCGTGGGACGGTAACTTGTACACCAGGGCTATACGACCTAGAGGAATGTCTGAACAAAAACAATGAAAGACTGGCCTGAGGGCCGCGAACTAAAAGTCACCCACCTTTGTCTTGGTCACATCGTTTTCTCTTCACTGGGCCAGCTGATCTCTCTCTCTCTCTGTTGATGTTATTGTTGTTAAGTGCTGTTGAGTCGCAGGTGACTCATAGCGACCCTATGAAGGAGAGTCCTTGACGCTGTTGCCTTCAACCCAAGGCCAAGCGTGGCTTCCCTGGCTCCTGGAGGCAGAGTCGCCTTTCTCCAGGGACCGCCACAACACAACTCCCATATACACAGCACCATCCTCTCTGGCCAAAGGATCACAGCCACCTAGGTGGAGCAAACCTGGGTGATTATGGCTGTCTCCTCCCTCCTCTTCTCCTTTTGGGCTTGAAGCCGCTGCTGCCTTCAACCCAAGGCCAAGCGTGGCTTCCCTGGCTCCTGGAGGCAGATATAGCTGTAAATAAATATTATAAAATTAAATAATTTCTTAAACTCAGTAGCATATCAAAGATCTTTAAAATCCTACAATATCTTTTTTTTTTTACCACTAGATACACATTTGGACGAATAGTGCATACAGATTTGCTTTCAGACACAAAAGTACAAGATGTGTTCTCAGGTGTCCCCAGGCACACAGACCAGTCAATGTACTTTTTTCCTTGTTGGTGGTGTTAGCACATCTAAATCATTCCACATTTGCACATTCAAAAGCACTGATTGTCATCCCTAAGAAAACCACAGACCAAATGATAATTTTCATTATGATATTTTAAGAATAAAATTTAACAATCTTCTTTTCCATGAATTCAGAAAGCTTTCAATGGCTGGATTCAGTAAAATCTCTCTTTCCTAGCAACTCACCTGCGGAAGATATACACAGACTAACAAGTAAGTTAAAATGTACCACTGCCCTTCTGAAGTTACTGAAATTGAAGTTCACAGAACTGTGAATTACAAGGCCTGTGTATTAAGAAGCTATTTAGTATATAACAGTTAATGTCACATTTATCTCTGGGCCTAGGTTGTGAAATCTTATAGTCTATAGGCCAGCATAACTCAAGTAAGTAGGAGATACTAGACATGTTAGCGTGTAGGAAATTTTCAGTCACACAATCACAATAAAGACCTAAATCCGGCTCCCCATATCACTGACCTCAGCCCAGGTATCATTTTCTGTGATAATGACACTCAATATGAAAGGATTAAATGCTCCAGCCAAGGGAAAAATAGAAAAAGAATGAATAAGAAAATATAACCTATCAATATCCTGTCTACACACAAGAAACAAGGACAAAGACTAAAAATCAAAAGGTTGTTGTTGTTGTTGTTGTTATGTACCATCGAGTCGCCTGTGACTCAGAGTGACCCCATGTACAACAGTCCTAAAACCTGCTCTATCCTGTGCCAATCTCACTGCCTCCGACACACCTACCCCCATTACCCAAGTCACTGAAGCAATCCTCCTCATAGAGTGTTTTCCTCTCCGACACTGTCCCTCCACCCTCTCAAGCATGATGTCCCTTTCCGAGGACTGGTCCCTCCTTGAAACATGACCAAAGTATGTCAGATGAAGCCTCAGGATCCTTGCTTCCAAGGACCAGCTTGGTTTCACCCTCTCCTGTATGAATTTGTTCATTTTCTTAGCAGCCCATGGTATATTCAATACTTTTCTCCAACACCACAGAACAAAGGCATAATTTCTCTTTCTATCATCCGTAGTCATTGTCCGGCTCTCTGACACACAGCAAGTGATTACAAAGACCATGGCCTGTATCAGACACACCTTAGTCTCCAGAGTGATATTGTTCTTCAGTACTTCGGAGAGATTGCTAACTGCAGACTTTCCCATCACAATATATCTTTTCATTTCCTGGCTCCTGGTGCCAAGGGTGTTGATTGTGGAGCCAAGCAAACTAAAGCTGTTAAGAATCTCAGTATCTTCATCATCTATCATGATGCTCCCAGTTGGCCCAGTGGTGAAATCTTTGTCTTCTTGATAATGAACTTCAATCCATATTGAAGGCTACAGTCCTTGACCTTGTGCAGCAAGCACTTCAGGTCCTCCTCATTTCCAGCAACCAGGGTTGAGTCATCTGCATAATGCATATTGTTAATGAATCTTCCTCCAATCCTGATGTCATGTTTCTCCTCATAGAGACCAGCATCCTGAATAATCTGTTCTGCATACAGATTGAAAAGGTATCGAGATAGGACACATCCCTGGTATACATCCTTCCAAATTTTGAACTATGCAGTGTTTCCTGTCTCTATTCTGATGACTGCCTCCTGGTCCAAGTATAGGTTTCGCATTAGCATGATAAAGTGTTCTGGGATTCCCATTCTTCTCAGAGTTAGCCACAGTTTGTTGTGATTCACACAGTCAAATGCCCTTGCATAATCAATGAAACCCAGATAAACATTCCTCTGGTACTCCCTGCTTTCAGCCAAGATCAGTCTAATATTAGCTACAATATTCCTAGTAACAAGGTCCCTTCTTAACCCAACCTGACCTTCTGGCAGTTCTCTGTTAATGTGCTATTCCAGCCATTTATGGATAATCTTTAGCAGAATCTTCCTTTTATGTGATATTAATGATATTGTTTGATAATTTCCACATTCTGTTGGATCACCTTTCTTTGAGATGGGAGCAAATATAGATCTCTTCCAGTCAGTTGGCCAAGTGGTTGTTCTCCAGATTTCTTGGCACAACTTGGTGACCACATCTAGGGAAACATCTGTTAGTTGAAATACGTCAATTGGTATACCATCAATTCCTGACGCCTTATTTTCTGCCAGATCTTTCAAAGCATATTTATCACGGCTTTGTTCACAATAAAGAGTTGGAAACAACCCAAGTGCCCATCCACAAATGAATGGATAGAGAAGCTGTGATATATTCACACAATAGAATACTATGCTGCATTGAAAAACAAGGAACTCATGCAATATTATTCAAAATGGGTGA